CGTTGCGAACCGCTGTCTGGGAGGCCGGTGCCGGTGCCGCGGGCTGAGCGCGCTGAAGGCCGCGCCGCCTTTCCCGCACGACACGTCACAGCAGTTACCGCTGCACGAGGCAGCGCATGCTCCCGGGTACGCATCGCCAGTGCTCCAGGCACCGACTCCCGTGCCGCTCAAGTGCTGTTCACGTACCACATCCCCTACTAGCGCCTTCACAAAGGGTTTTACAAAGCAGTTCCTCACCTTGGCGAGTTGTGTCTGGACATTGAAACTGGGTTCATTATGAGGAAGTGGCCTAAGTTCTCAGAGTCTGGAAAAACATGTTTTCTGTGGAGGAGTCTGAATAACAAGCATTCATGAGACTAGATCTAAATTAAATGTGTTTCCATGTTTCTTATTAGATGCCTTAAAAATACCATAGAGCCTCATTCTTCAGAGGATTAAACTGTCATCCAAATTGCTGTGACTGCTGTGACAGTGCACTGAAATGGGAGAATTCTCTAGGTTCAGCTGATACTGCACCATCATTAACTGTTTGCTTTCAATGTTCCTGAAACTGCAAAGCAGACTAACGTAACATGTCTGAATTCCGGTATTCCACTAGTGTCCAGAATAATCTCCTATGAAAAAAAGCTGAGAGAGTTGGGGTTGTTCAGCCTGGAGAAGAGAAGGCTCCGGGGAGACCTTTTTGCAGCCCTTCAATACTTAAAGGGGGCTTATAAGAAAGATGGGGACAAACTTTTTAGTAGAGCCTGTAGCAACAGGACAAGGGGTAATGGCTTTAAACTACAAGACTGTAGATTTAGACTAGATATAAGGAAGAAATTTTTTTACTATGAGGGTGGTGAAACACTGGAACAGGTTGCCCAGAGAGGTGGTAAACACCCCATCCCTGGAAACATTCAAGGTCAGTGTAGACAGGGCTCTGAGCAACCTGATCTGTTTGGAGATGTCCCTGCTCACTGCAGGGGTGGTTGCACTAGATGACCTTTAAAGGTCCCTTCCAACCCAAACTATTCTGTGATGCTATGTTAACTCCACTGAGGCTTTATCTAGGCATAGAGCTATTTTAACATAACCAAAAGTGGCTTTTAAATGCACCTTATATAAAGCAATGCCAACTTTTATTTTGGACACTTTAAACTATCTCTGTAAGCCAGGCTCGTTTTAATGGAATGACACATGTTGAATCATATGGGGTAGTTTTATACCTAATTACATGTATCCAAGAATTTGCACTGGTTTAAGCATACATTTAGATTAAATGCTTTATTGGAAATGGCACACAAAGGGAGACATGATGAAAGGCATCCATCCAATTATACTTTCAAGGTGCAGGACTTCCCTGCTGTGGGAAGCTATATAGCAAACAATTTTAAAAAGTAGGTGATATCTCTGCTGAGATTATTTTGAAAATCTTGTACTGAATGAATGAATTGGTCTAGCCTTTAAAAGTAGGATCGAGTTGCCAATAAACCACTTTAGATAGTACTGAATTTTAGATACAGTGCAGAAACATTAGAAAAGCCAGGAAACAGTCCATCTGTGTAAAATATATAGTATGCCGACTTTATTGTTCGCTTTATCACTCATGCTAAACACATTTACTGTGTGTGTATATACACACACTCTGCATTTTTTTTAAACTAAAAAAATCCAGCAGGGGGCATACATTACATACTTCAATTTAACCAGACAATCTAATGGTCGAGGTTATTCATACAGATCAGACCACTTCTCTTAATGCACAAAGCTGTAGGCTTTTCTAAAATTATGTCATAGCACCATCTACCTCATCTCCTTACACATGAACCACCAGCAGTTAAAATCAGCTTATAGTCTTCCATTCCCCTGTAATCAGTTTGCTGGCAAGTACCAGGTATCTTTACTATAACCTCTCTGAAGTGGGAAGACTTCAGAAAACCTGTACAAATAGCTTTGGGTAGCTGTGAAAACAAGTTAAATTATAGAAAGGATGTAAACTCCCCCTGGTGAATTGGCAATAATTTTACCGTCTAAAATTGCCTCTATATAATTATTTGCTACTAGGCATAAATTGGCCAAGCACTTACCTGTGTCTTTAGCAATCATATCACACAGGAAAATCATCAGTGACCTGGGACTGTGAAGGAACGCGATGCATAAAGCCAGTATTGCACCTCTTATCATAGCCAAGATGGAACTTGGCTCTGCTAGTCAATGGAAAGTATTCTGCTGTAAGAATGTAAATATGTATATTGCGTGTCAGGGACAGATTTCTCATCATGCTTACTCTAATCACTCCTCCAAAACACAAGTACAGTGTGTTTATCCTTAGAGTACATTTGGTGGAGCAACACGTGCACACTTACTCCTCACAATTATGGTCATTCAAGACAAAGTCAAAAACTGAAGACAACAGCAGTCATATGCCAACTATGAACAGCCCACCCAACCTGTCCACTTGCATTAAAGCTGTGAGACAAGGATCCTGCTAGTTTAATCAAGTATCTTTCAGATACTTTTATTAACATGTGTATTTAAAAGTCTTTCAAACTGTTTCCATAGTGTCTAAGCAACGGCCTAGCTACACTCCAAACAGAACGTGACGATCCAGACCTTCAGCAGTTAACTTACGCTTTACCTTTGTACACTTTTGGTGTGTGTTTTTTTTTTTTTTTCTGAGACTGCTAACAAAGCAGTTGTTTCAGTCATGGTTTCTCAGGTAAACTTCACTAGAAAGGGAAGCTGAACTAAAATTCTATTCCGAATGCCACTGAACTTCTGTACTTTTTAAAACTGAAATTCACAGCAGACAGCATCATGACAAGAACAAAAACCTAAGCAAAAGCTCTGGGTTTTTTTCACTGATTTTTCTTTGTCAGATCTGCCAGTTCGTTCTAAAGGGAAACAGTAAATCTGAAGAGCATTTGACATATTTTATTATAAATGGTCATCAATACAGAACCAAAAAGTCATCTTTATAAATATCTACAAAAAGCACAAATGCAGGTTAAAAAACATTCTCTAGCATAAGCAGAGGGCTTTCAGTTTTTACTTTCTACAAGTGTGTTTTTAGGGAGGAAATAATTTTAAAAAGCTTTTTTTTAAAAAAAATAACTAGTTTTTAGTGGTTTTGTTCTTAACATTCACTGTGAAAACAAAGCTCTGATGATTTATCAAAGAGAAAACCAGAAAGGGTGACACATGACCTTTTTGTGCAGTAAATCTGGATAAGCCCACGGTATTGTGGTTTTAATGCTAATTTAACTGAAAACAGAAGCTAGCTCAAGGCATTTCAAAACTCCTACATCTTTCATACTTTTTTTGGCATATTGCCTGTTCACCTCAAAGTCAACATGAGGACTGAGCAAGTCGTAAAGACTTCATTCCTGTCCACACTGGAGAGTTGCTCTCCCCTAGAGTCCAGGTCAAAGCAGACTACAAGTGTTGCTTCTATTACAACTGTTCCGTGGATTTTGTACCTTGCTAGCTCCCTCCTTTCCTGTAATCCTAAATCATGCAAACACACAATCTCATACATAGAACAGCCCCAACTATTGCTATTCTTCATCATAAAGAAATTAATCCACAACCGCCAGCAGAGGCTTTAGCAAGTCTCTAAGCAAATCATTCTAGATTTGACCATTACAGACACACACTGTTGTGTAACATGGTAGTTATCTGTCTCCTCAGTCAGCAGGTAAGAGGCTATGTTCTCTTTCTGCTTTAAGAGAACAGAACAATGCCTGTTTGATGTGTGTGTGTGCATGCATGTATGCTGGAGTGAGGGGTAGGGCTGGAGGAGAGGCAATATTGCCCTAGTGGTTGAGTACTCTAGGTTATCGTTTGTTAAAATGGAATTTTCCTTGTCCATCTGCTATTTCTTTTGTGCTATGCTCAACAGACAAGTGGAATTGAAGGTGTCATCTTCTAGAGTTTTACCAGCATTTTAAGAGGGAACACCTTTGTAGCAGTTACCTGTCACTGCATAAAACTGCATCCAAAGCAAAGAGATAGGAGCAGTAAATTAGCATCTTGTGATCTTTAAACACAAGAATATTAAAAATCCAACCTACTGCTAGCACCAGAATGACAGCATTTGCCTTTCCCTATGTTTTCTTATCTTTTTCAAACATATTTCTGTCTACTGACATGCTGATGTGATCAACACTTTGGGGCGCTGCTCAGCAACACTTCAGACAGCCAGTCACACAGTTGAATGTAAGCAAAGGGATAGTAAAAAGCAAGAAATAACACTGCGTTCCATTTGCAAAACATTACTCTTCCCATTAGCATACTGTACTTGACCCTTCCGGTCGGAGAGGTGTCAATGGTTTTATTCAAAGCATCGTAGATGATTATATAGAGACTGGACATAGGTGAAGACACACATGGGATCTGGCTTGTGACCCATCACCATCATGTCATCCACTTCTATCAGACGATCGCAGTGAGCCATTTTCCTGTAGCAATAATAAAACAGATACAGCAAATCAAGACTTAAATCTAAGGCCTGTAACTACTTCAAGATTAATTTGCTGCTCTGACTTGAGCATCACTGAGGCATTTAAGAAATCCTGAGGTTCATCAGTAACATTTAATTTCACAATGAAATGGTCAGGCCCAGATTGGAGATTCTTATTTTTTGTGACCATGGGATATTCCTGTTCTTTCCCTCTCTTCTCCTATACTGAGATCAGACCCAAAGCCCTGTAGGGTGTTTTTTTTTTATCCCACTGATGGCCATTCACATCCCTGATATCTGTAGCTTGTAGCCTAATCTCACATTCCTCTGTCCAAGTCTCAGTAAGCAGGGTCATGCGAGTTTGCAAATCATGAGTTTTACTAGTTATTACATAGGAGGCTCCAAAAGAATGGAAAGACACAAGAAGAGATGAGATGTGCCAATGAAGGCCCAAGTGGCTGTGGATTGTTTGTTTTCTACCACCTCCTTATCTTCAAGGTGTGAATGACTTGGACAACAATCTCAGATTATCAGGTTGGAGAGTAGAAGCCTGAAGGAGATCTGGACCGGCAGAAAGGAACAGATCTGCTGAGGCCTAAGATGAAAAATCACAAGGGCAGGAAGCAATTTGATCAGCAGACCTCATACTGGGGTGAAGAGCAATGACAGAGAAGACCTTTTTCTGGCACTAGGAGAGAACAGTTACTTTAAAGGCAATCACAGCTATGAAGTAGTTATTTCTGTAGATACCTCTTACCTAATGTTTCTTACTGTTGTGTGCATGCTGTCTTCTGTTCTCCCCTATACTTACTGTTATACCTAAACTGAGATAGAAAAACACTGCAGCTTTTTTTTGAGAGTTGGAGATAGTTTTACTTTAGAGGTCAACCACCTAAAAGTGTTGTAGAATCTCTTCCAACTCACTGACAAACAACAAAATTTTTATGCACACATATATATGTGTGTGTATGTAAAACCCTTGTAACTCCTAAATTAATTCCTTTGCTAGGGGCTGTGATAAGGAGATTCAAAGTTATGCTAAGAATTTTCAAAGCTTTTCTCTGGAATGGCAAATTCAATTTCGTAAGTTATTGCTTTGATTAAAAAAAAAAAAAAAAGGGCACTCAGAGAACCCCAGCACCCCAGAGCTTCAGTGTGGTGGTACCAGTGTTTGAAGCTGTATCAGAAGCTGCAGAAAACTTTTGCCATGTGTTCCCACATCTTGTTAGTATTCAGAAAGAATGTACCAAACCCAGCTGCATATCACATGGCGTGTGCTTACTGTCACACAAGTCAAACAAAACAGCAGGTAAGAATCATGTTGATACTAGGTCAAAAAAGTTACTATTTCTAGATTACAAGTTCACACTCATAATGACTTTAACAAACAAGTTATTGTTTAATTTAATTTGATCCAAAAAGGATCAGGACAGTGTGACTGAGTGTATTAGCTCTGTCTGTTTTACAAAAATGCAGTTACCATGTTGAGACATCGAGAAGCTCTCAGCCTTGATCTAACTCTGCTTACACTGAATTCAACCTTCATTCTTGTTCAACCAAAGCAACATAGAGACAGAGGTGAACCCTCTCACAAAACCCAATTCCAAAAGTTAATCTACTCACTCTCTGCTGCTCAGGTGTCACAGTTTTTCCAGAGAGGCTGGATGGATATATTAACATGCCTCAAATTCAAATCAGGTATCAAGCAGGTGGGACTGGCTAAGAAACTGCAAGTTGTATGTCCAGTTCCTATGGACTGTGAGTAAACACTGGATACCTTGTGCTCTATGAACTCAAATTTCTTTTTTGTGATTTATATTGGCAAATTCTTTAAGAATCATTCATTACTTCAAGAACAAAATAACAAAAAAAAATTAAAAACAAACACAGAGAGAAATATTATTTTTTTCCTCTTCTGTCCAAGTGTAACTCATGAGGCTGACTTCTCAAGTTTAGCGTGTCAGTGCTATCACTGGTGAGAATCACAGAGGTGAGAAAGTAGAATTCAAATACTGCCTGAAAAGTGTGAAAGACCTGAACATAGGACTCCAGTGAATTATCCTGTGCCTGGTAAAACCAATTCTGATCTTAGACTGCCGAGTCTCCTGTTCTATGCATTCTCTATGCAGAGCTTTATTTTCTGGCATGACATATGTACACTAGTGATATAAGATCTACAAGAACAATTAAACTCTTCACTGCTGCCCAGTTGCATTAGACTTGAACTGGAAGCACTTCACAGAGATCTAATGTGATACGTACTCAGCCATGGTGAAGGCCAGCTCAAAGTTCTGCTTGCGATTAGCTGGGTCAAGTTTATTATAATCAAAAGCTTCAGGAAAGAAAGAATGCACAAGAGCACAGAATGCCATCCCATCGTTCCAGCTTGAGGAGAAGTTCTGGAGATCAATGTGCTGTTATGAGGAAAAAAACCACACACGTTAATGCAGCACGGGGGAACACGGAAGAGCAGCTGCTTTTGCTCACTGCAAACTTTCTGTCCTTCTCCCACTAACCAAAGCAACAGAGCACAGCCTTTATGTTTTTCCTCCCCTTTTTGTATACATTACATTATTTGTATTCTGAGAAGAAACGGCATGCTCAGCAATGAAAGCCTTTTGCCTGAAATGCCCAGATGCAAAGCAGACACACAGTCAAGGTCCCTGATCAAAAGCCCACTGAAATACTAGGACGAATGTTGTCAATGTCAGTGAGCTCTGGAGCAGGCCCAAAGCACCACCTCAGTATCAGAAACTAAGGACACTGCTTATCCCTGCGAAGTATTTATAGTTGAAGAATGGTTCATTTTGTGGCTGTGAATAACACTAGACTATGCTCGCTTGCTTTGCTTTTCAGTAAGGCCCAATTCAATGCTAGTTTACACACAGACAGGTAGAAATACAGGAAGAAATATAGGAAGAATTACACCTACTGCAAAATCTGATTTTAGAACAAATGCTTATTGTTACTTTCAACCGCCACAGTGAGAAGAACCATAATTGGGCTCTTGGCTCATGCTGCTTTCCCATCATATATAAAATTCAAGCCCCAGCTTTTCTGGTCAGCAACTAACAGTAATTTTCACTAGTTATGCTTATGTATATTATAAAGTTCAGCAATAATAATACATATTTTACAATAACGTTGAAAAACATATTACACAAAAAAAAAGAGCCTAGAAAAAAAAATTTCTTTCTCCTAGGAATTGCTTTGGCAATTGCAGTTTAAGACCAGGTAAAATTACTAAAACCTCAGCTGCTGAATTATTTTAGCCACACTGATGTTACCTCACAGAAATTAGCTCACTAACACTGTGTGATTCAACCTCGACCATTTACTACAAATCACTTGTAGAATACCAGTAGAGAGTACTTTGGTCTGTTGTGCAGCAAAAGGGTCATAGTCTCCACATAATGGCAAAATGTTATTCAGATCTTGCCGTATATAATGAGAATGCAAAAATCACCGCTGCAACTAAAAAAAAAATATGTCTGAGTGTATAATGAAGTCTATATCCATAAGTACAAAAACGTAGTCTTTCAGACAAACATTAATGCATTGCGTTGACAGACATACAGAACCTCACTCATGCAATCACTGTCTTGAAGTGCTGCCCATGGAAACCACGATGTTTGCGTTACCCACACAAAACTTGATGACCTTAAGGAAGTTAACTTCCAAGTTAACTTGTCTAGCATGTTTTACGTTCGCTTTTTGAGTACACTTTTTTTCAAATTCTCCTGAAAAAGAGAGAGCTGAAAGTGCTAGCATGTCTTCACCTTGTATCCTATGGTTTTTGAGCGACACCAGTCTAACAGAATTTGTTTAATGCTGCTAGCGCTGGCAACCCCAAAACTCTGCGACCTCTTCAGCTTAGCTCTGGATTGTCCTTTTCCTCTGGAAAATTAACAGAGACCAGATTAAATTACATTCTAGAAAAACTTAAACCTACTTGTCAGCAACATCTATGCAACCCTGCCCAGGTCAGTCTCTGTCCAGGAGGTGATATTTGAGAAACACGTTGCTGAAACTTCAATTTGTTGGTCCTGCAAGAAAAACTCATTTTCATTTCACTAAAGCCAGGATTCCAAGCCCTCTTCTATTTAAATCATACCCCCATCATGGTGCATAAAGAACAGTCCACACTTTTGGTCCTTCATGAGTGGCAACAGAAAGTCACTACATTCCCAGTCTCTTATAATGACGGAGAAGGCAGCTTTCACAGCACTCTTTCCTGATAAAAAGCACCTGCTTCTTCAGCTGAACAACTCCAAAACCAGAGGAATCCGTAGCTTTGAATTGCCAGGGCTCAGTCTGTGAAGTCAGCAAAGCTATATGTGACCTCATATTGTCCCTTAGCTCAAAATCCTACCTTGAGAGAGTCTCCCACCCAGCTGTCCTCTGCTGGTAATAATTGACAAATTAGTTACCCATTAACAAACCCACTGTGGCGACAAGGGGTGTGACGTACTTTCCACCATCGTGTTCAAATTTCTCAAAAAGCGCTTTCCTGGCCTGTGCACCTGTAGTCCGTGGGAGCGTTTGAGACCGTACCAGTTCTCGCCTCCTTTCAACTTGACGAGGTACAGTGGGAGGAGAAGAGTGAGAGCTGGGAGTCACATTACAGTAACTGTTAGTGGCACTGGAGAAACGTAACATGAAAAGTATACGGTTAAACAAAAAAGTAACTCTCTGCAGTACCAGGAGTCAGCATAGAGGTCCAACTGTTGCCTACTCTAAACTTCCCAAAACAGCCATTTCAAGATGACCTGAATGAGTCACAAGCAATTTAAGTAAAAGTCTGTTTTATTGACAGACAACAGCACTTAAGTATAGAAGAATCTAAGGTACTTTTATAAATGAGACATAGCTGGACAAGTCACAAATGCTTTGTAGCACTGAGTAGAACAACAATTAAACATCTTTAAGAAAAAAAAACCACATTGTGGCCACACAGGACCACTAAATTCCATTAATTTCCATCTTTGAGGTTCCTGGAGGGAAAGTCACATTTTAAAAATGGAATTTGAAGAGTAATTCAGGAAGTACTTTTGAAATTTTTACTTGTAGTACACAGAATCCTGCGCTCATGTCAGTGTTGCTTCACTGACTGCAAGTTGGTAATTTGATCCAGAGATATAGGATTATATTCTAATTTGTGTTTATTTGAGCCATAAATCACTTCATCAGCGTTAATGAAGTAAGTCACACATCACATTTGGAAATGTTCCCCATGACAGAAATGGGGAAACTTAGGCAAAGATCAATGACATTAGTGTCACACATTAATTTCTGGTACAGATGGAGGTTAGATCTGACAGCCAGTTCTCTAGGGAGCTCAGTGTATCATGACTCAAATATTGAAGTGCTGATGTTGGAACTAACTCAGAAGAAACACAATGCCAGATTTGGGATAATTTTCAAGGCAGACACAAGCCCAATTTAAGCGATTTAAATTGGCTGCCCTCCCATTCTTCTTGATGGATATTTTGCATGCTGAGGATGCCTGGATATGCCAGTAGTAATTGTGATACCATGTAAAGCTATACTAAGCAACTGCAACTCTGAGTTAATCCAGAATGTGCAGTAGTCCTCAGTCCTCATAAGGGCATTTATCTACAAACTAAACTCTCGGCTAGCCGAACTAAGGATATTTGATGACAGTCATATGCTGATTTCCAAAAATAAGCCCAAAGTACAAATTTCACACAGCTGAGGATTTTTAAAAGTGTTTTCAAAGAGCCTGACAGCTTGCTCCTCCTAACAAAAATCCACTGCTGGCACAGAGAGTTTTACTCACTAACACTGTAACAATGCTGAAATCCACAATTAGGTCTGTTTTAAACTGTTCTACAAAAGATTTTTATCCTTTCCCATCTCTGTTCCACTTAGCCCTTAAGATACAGCATCTGGGACTCGCCTGTTCTCCAAGCCAGGAGAACACCTGTCCCTTGAGACTATACTGACCACAACGGCCCAACAAAAAGTCAAGAAAAACACGTACCTTTCATCAGTTTTAGTTCCACTACTCATCCCATAGCTCACAGTTGAGACAGACTTAGTGACAGAAGTGGTATTCTCTGTATAAAAGCAGGAAAAACAAGATGCATCAGGGCAGAAATTCTTTTATCTGCTTTCCTCATACATCTTCAAACCATTTCCTGATAGATAGACACATGTTGACTTTCACTCACTGCAGTGAAAAGCTGCAGACCTCTAACTTCCAGTATGAGCTAACAAGCTGGGGAGAAATTTCCCCCAGGGATTCAATCCCTCTGCAAAATTGTTGCATTGCAGTGAGGGTGGTGTAAACACACCAGAAAGGGCTGTGAGAAGATGCCTTTGATAAAACTGCATTGGGAAGGCTGGATCATTTCAGACATTTTTGTAGACCTCAGAGCACGGCACACTGCCATGGATGCTTCAGTGAAAGGAAGAAATGGTGCTACAGCTCAGTTTGCAACACTGATTCTGGCAGACATAAAGAGTCCTAGAAAGTCTGCCATGATTGAGGGCATAATTTAAATTACCTAATTTTCACCAGGAAACATTTTAGTTTGTAAAGTAGAACAGATTCCAAAGGTTGCAAAGGTGGCTTAAAACCAACTTTGCACCTTCCTCCCCCACCTCTGAGATTCCACCTTTTGCGCTTTGCCTCTTAGAGCTCAGCTCTAGACTCCAGCTATGGTCTGTAAATGCAAAACAATGGAGTGGCTTGCCCAGTTTTAACACACTAAAGCCAAAACTTGTTGCATAAGCCAGCAACTGATTTATTGAAGGCTCCTTCTATGCACAAAGAAGAAAGACCAGCATCTTAGCAGCAATCCATCCTGATCACTGTCGAAATCACTCTGAAAATGCCCAACCTTCCCTCTGGTTATAGAGGGGATCCAGATCAACTAGACTTCTCATGTAGAACACGTAAATGTCAGCATACAGATGTGACAAATTTGGGGCCACAACAATTGCCAGATATTTGTGCAAATCTCAGAGGTTTTAAGTGGAGGAGGAGTGTGATCCCCATTCTGGACAAGCTACATCTTTGCTAAACAGACACTTGAGACCACTATGAAATGCCAGTACATTGTGTAGACAGTAACAGCTTGGTGACGTCAATCAGAAGTACTTTAGGATAGAGCTCAACTCATCTATTTGGACTGAAATCGAAAATCCTTAAGGCATTTTGCCTTTTGACACACTCATACACAAAGGAGACTACTAACTGCTATTCTGCTCAAAGGAATTTGCTTCAAAATCTATAGGGTGGACCCACTACTTTCCAACTGCCATTACCTTGCATTCAGTCACAGTTTTCACTTGGTCAGTTGAAATCTTCACTGCTCAAACTGTCTGTTCTGCCATACTTTTCTAGCACTTATTGTTTCCACTGCACAGATTGTCTAACAGTACATATGTACACTACTCTGCAAATAAGGAAAAGTATCCCTTGCTTTGAACTGATTGAGAATCTGATACAGTGGAACAAGTTTCCATGACACCTGGGAAACGGAAACTGCATGCAGTCTTGATAGCAATTTTAATATTACTATGTACCTACTAATCAGAACTACATTCTCAGATCTGAATCCCCCAGACACAGACCATGGAATCTCTCTCAATTTGTGTTGCGTAAGGATACAGTGGTAGGAACACTCACCCCCAGTGGAAGATGAACCCATCGTTCTCACTGTACTTGAATTCCAGGCCTTCACTGAAACAGCAGGAAAAAAGACAAAGGAAGGCTTTGCTACATTTTTAGCTTTAGTAAGACAAAAGTTGAAAGAATAACCTGCAAATAATCCCTATCTCTTGCTGGCAATTCCATCTGGTCTCTCTCTGTAATTTCAGACCCATATACATAGTCTGATCTGTGTCATTATCACTAAACATATGCAATATAGCTCAAAGATGAATGACTTCAATATGAATGAGATTTTTTTTTTAAAAAAACCAAACAACCTAAATTTAGATACAAATAAGACTCCGCAATCACTCTGACTTGTGTGTATATATCAGTCTGCTGTTGGTCATTCCTCTCTCCAAATAACTGTTGAATCTGTTAGCCAAATATCTGCCTAACTTCTCAAGAGGCCTCAGGTCTCAAAGCACTACAAAATCCCACAAATTTCATTAAAATAGCTGGCCATGTTGAAGAAATACTTTTTTGTGTGCTAGAGGATAGGCTGCACTATGAACTCAGCTATATTAGGCAGCAAAAATTCTCAGCAGATGTGACATTATAGCCGAAAGCTCCACCTAGGACTCACAATATTCTAAATCAGTGTGTCCTACCATGGGATATGTAGTCATAGAAGCAAGGTTTCGTAATTACCACTAGGTCACAGGAACATTCCCATAGCACCAGTTTCTTGAAGTAAAGAAATGGGACACAGCTTCCGCAAACACATTATTTTTGTCTCTTTTACCTGACTGGTTGGAAGTTTTCACTGCTATCGCATTCTTGTTCTTGCTTTGTCCCACGAGGCCAGCAGACGCATTAGCTGTTCCGGTCGAACAGATAGTCTCTCCTGAAAACTTCTCTGATATCCTGGTTACTGCAGTAACAGGAAGATGAGGCATCTGTAAGGTGACTGCAGGGGCATGGGCTTCAGGGGAAGAATCTGACATGTGAAAAGAGGTCAGTTCATGAGAGGCTTTTGCCTGACCTACTGAATAAAAAGAAAAGGAGAGAGGAAGTAAATTTATTTGCATATTTGTAACAAAGTTACAAAGCAATTTTAGTGCAACAACTTTATTTTACAAGTCATTGGAATTATTCCACCTAGTCCTCCCTGCCGGACATCATACCCTTTACACCATGCTGCGGAAACAACCCTCGCCTTGCAGCGATCATACCTGTCCTACATGAATCTCAGCAAGAACAACTTCAGATCACTAATCCACTAACATCTGCATCTGGTAAGCTCCTCCTCTTCCTCTGCGCACCCCGCTCCCAATCTCCTGCCATGGGTTAGGAGTTCTTTTCTTTTCCTGGTTTTATGAAACACTGTGTGCCTCAGTTTTCTCTAAAACAGAGACAGTAAGTCCTCCCTCCACTGAAGGATGATGGCAGCGGACAGGTAATTTGCAAGATGTTTCGGGATGCAAGGCTACAAGGGCACCAAAAATAGCAGGCCTTATTATCACTAATGCCCCAAGATAATGTGACAGTAATAGCTTCTAATTTACAAAACACAATAGTGCATGCTTATCAATAAAGTTTAAAAGTTAAACTCCTAACTAGAAAATAAAAGGTATCAGTGCCACAGTACAATATCTATGCTGAAACCATAGTAGATTCTAATGCTTCTAACATGTGAGAACTGCTCTACGACTGACAGGATCAGGTATTTTACAAGTAGTGCTACTTCATTTCATGCCCTGTTCCTACCTGAAGACTGATGCCCATTTTCAATGATGGAAGAACTAAAAACTCTTCTAAACTCAGGTTTGTGGTGGTCATCCAGGTCTACACTCTGTCAGAACAGATAACAGACACAACAGCTAAATTTCAAACAGCAGCAAAAGTTACAAGAATATTCAGAAACACCTGCCAAGAACAAGTCTTCCTTATGCTAGAGACCACAGTACAAGAAGGCAACAATTATCTAACCCCAAGAGCCAAAGCTGCTAAATGACCACTGGCACTGCAGGACTTGTATCCATCTTCACATACTTTCCTCAAAGCCCCCATGCACCCAGGAGGGGTCTTACACTTTTGTTAGATAAAGGTATCACCATCCACTGTGAAGGTGATAAACAGAAGAGTCCACACAATAGTGGAGAGACTGAGATTGTATAAAATGCTTAATGCTCTCCAGGTTTTTTTTTGTTTGTGCAGAAAAAAATTACATTCTGATTATGCACTGTAAAAGCATTACCTAAAACATGATCCTAGAACTTTACAGATGCACTATAATCTGCACCTTCTGTAAGAATAGTTCTTTCTCAGGAAAGCACCAACTTTTCCCATACCGTGCGCAAATATAATTCCAGGAAAATCAGTCAAGAATTTTTTTTGTTGTTGTTGGAGGGTGGGTGGGGGTGTGTGTGGGAGGGGGTGTTTGTGTGTTTGTTTGTGTGTACACATACAAAAAAATCACAAGGAACTACGTGGTTTTGGCTGCAGGAACTAAAGCAAGAAGAAACTGCTTCACAGACAAACAATTAATTCAATTTAAAATGTAGCTTCCAAGAAGCAGTGTATACAAGCAGTAGAGTGAAATTCTCCAACACAAAGTCCATGAAAAAGTTTTAATTGATTCCAGACAGATATCTAACCACCAGATTGGCCAAAAATTTTATGAATACAGAAAAAAATCTGTAATAATGCCCTTATAAAAATAATCAAAAATTCTTATACACTCAATCCAAACAAGTTTTGTTTTTTTCTTTTTAAAGACAGACAGATAGAGTAAAGATAGATACTGAAGATGATTTTATACTGCAGGTAAGTATAAAACCAACGGAACATAACACAGAAGGAAAGAGGCAGAGTCTATACATGTAATTACTTGTCTCTGCTTTTCATACACAGGAAATACAGAGCAAACTGGTGGTTTGACTTTACTTATTTATTCTATAGCTTCATCACAAATTATTAGAATAATTTATTTATAGAGTGGAAAAATATATCTTAAGTAAAATACAGAAACCATATAATCAATTCAAGACAAATCATCAAAAATAGTTTCTCAGAACTTGTCTGCTGTTTACCATGCATCTGTTTACACTCATCAAAACTAAATTAAGAACGCCAGACAACAACGTTAATGCACCTTGGAGATTTTTAAAAAGCATTTAATTTTGTTAGATGCTGCAAAGTGCACAGACTGTTTTAACATCCGGTACTTGAGATACTAGAACTTTCATTACCTCAAGCACAAATCCCAGTCAATTCCTGGTAACCACGGTCTGAGATCTTGCTAAGAATTTCTTAACTAGTATTAGATTACAGTAAGGCAGCCTAAACACAGTTTTGTCACACAGTATACAGTCGTGGCCTTAGATTCGGATCCTTCTAGATATTTAAGTGTCAACCTCCAAGTGGTTTCAATGGAACGCAGGTGTATATAGCAGAATTTGAGCTACATGCCCACACTACTAAACTTCAAGAAAATCCTTCTCTCAACTTTCAGGTTGGGCCTTACATTTTTAAAAAAAAAAACAAAACAACAAACCAACACAAACAACCACCACCACCACTGAAACAAACAACCACGCACAACACCATGTTTTAGCACAATGTTGCTTATAGCTTCACTGGTGCCCAGTGAAGGCTTCAGGTGCAAGATATAATGGAGGTCCTACGCATCAAATCCGTAGTGAACTTCAGTATATCAATCCAAACAAGGAGAATCTTTGTTTTAATTTTCCTCTGTCTTTATTTAAAAAGAAAGGAAAACAAACTAGACTGGGGACGCTGGAATGTTGAGAACTTCTCATGCTTTCCCAGCACCTAAAACTTTTTGACAAGCAAAAGCACTACAACTCAGCTATCTAAGCTTCACTGATTTTTGCGGAATCTCTCCCATTTAGAGGCTTCACTACAGACAGGTTTTCAGAAGAGCTCACATCCAACAAAGCTGCACCAAAAGGAGTGATGAGTTCTTCTGTAAAGCTAGTCTGCAAACTTTTTTCACATCACCAGAAGAACAAATTCTTTAAAATAACGTCTCTCCTGATAATCAAAAATACTTTTAATTTTTATACCATCTGCTATGCCCACAGAGAATGCTTCTATACATACACATGGTCTGACTCATGTCTGACTGGATCTGCGTCGTTGTATTAATTTGTGGAAATGAAATTATTCTGAAACTTTCATATTTGTCAAGAAGGTGGTACTATGCATGAGCAAATTCTGTTAACACTAACTGCCAGGATTAATTTGAGAAAAATAACACCAAATATTAATTATACAAACCATGCAGAATCAGGGGTTTGAAATTTTTATTGCTATATTTAATGTAACTGAGATCCTAGTCAACAATTATTGCCTATATCCAGAACTGAAATGTAAAGCACAGCTAATGCAGCTCCCTAGAACGTACCCATGGAATACAGTTAGAACTGTTTAGCCATTTGTGTCAGCTATTATGACCTGAATGTGTGACACATCTGTGCAGACTGTAAACATGAATCTACTTTATAAGCCAGGGGGGGAAAGAGGGGGAGCAAAACAGTTAAATGAGGTGGTCATTGCAAAGATCATGTAGCATCCTACACACTGAACTGGCTTCCTAATGCAGTGACAGGTGCTGCGCTAATTTATTTTATGCAAACATGATTACCACATTTTGGCTGACAGTGCTGGAGAAGAAACTGATACCAGGCTAGAGGATGGGGAAGGCCAATGCGCTGATAGAACTCTGTGAGGATCTGGGATCAGATTCTACTGTGCATTTAGTAGTGTCAGGCTGAAGTACCTTAAAATCCACTGTGTCTGGAGATGCCAAAGCCCTTGACAAACCTATGTGTGTAACAATACTTCCTTGCTGGCTACATAGACTGTAAATAGCAGAAGGACAGGTACCTATATCTGTGCTTAATAATGAGAAGTACTCATTTGTACAGTTCATGTAACAACAACATGATGAGGAACTGCTGAAGTTGAAGAAAAGAAAGTTAATGCTAATGTTTTTCATGTCTTACTCAGGCTTGCTCTTAGAACTAATCTCTCTGTAGCTCAGAGGCCGCCATGTAATGTAGGGTGGTAATACTTTCCATAGTTGTGGGCTGCTCGAATTCCTCCTTCACTGCAAAGAAGTTAGACCTTGGAGATGCATGACTGGAAGCTGCTATAAAACAGGCAATATCATAACCCAGTAGTGAAAATCTCATGCATTCAGAAAAAATAAGCACCAGATCATGATATTAGAAAGAGAAGAAACACAACTTTTATTTCCTCTCTGAGCCTCCAAGGCACATGTCTGTCATGTCTTCAAGCTTTTGTCTGCAACAAGGTCAAACTGTAGAAGAATGACAGAAAAATGAGATTCCTCTCTCTCAAATGACAGATCTCAATCATCCAAAGTCTTTCATAAAAGCACCAATTATCAAAAGGATCATGGTAAAAATCATTTGATCTAGAAACACTCTTTACCTCTTGATGCTTCACTTTGGTGAACAGCAAAACCACCACTGACTTTTGCAAGGCAAGATTCGACACCGTTCCTTGCATATAAAGAGATCATCGATACATGCAAAATGGGGAAAAATTAAATGTGTAAGGAAATGCAAACAAGGCTGCTGGACGCCAGCAAGAACTGCACTACATTTACCCCTTAATTCTTCCACTAGAAAGCCATTGTCCATCACAACAACACAAGTATTCTCTATCTGTAACTGACCCTGCAGCTCACTTAATCTCCCTGCCTGTATACCCCAGGTCATTATGTCTCATGTAGTTACTCCCAGACTGACTAACTGTTGGGTGCCATCAAGTCACCACAGAGAGATACCAATGGATAATATTTGTTTAGATCTTCTCAGGTGGTCAGCCAGCTGTTTGTCTCTCTGCTGCTTTGACCATCGCAGACAGGTTCTCTGCAGCAGTTTGTCCAGCAGCCAGTCCATGCTGCACAGAAAAATCTTTGGACAGTATAAAACCAGAATATCCTTACAGTACTTTTAGTCCTCTCTGTTCACAAAGGCATCATGCTCAACCACAAACACTATGGAAAGATCCTAAGAGATATAGCTTCTGCCAAAATGTAAGATCTGATCAACAGAAAAGGTCAAACCTCTTCCTTTCTAACAATCACAGACAGGTACCTCAGTGACTGCAAAGGACGACAAATAGCAACAAACTGCTCAGTGAGGGATCCCAGTTTAAAATAAATTCCTCAAACATATCCTATTAGCCACCTTTGAGAAAGCAGTTCTCAGATTCTGGCCTGGTTAGAGAGCCAAATTAAAGTCTGGCATCAAAATACCAGAAAGACTCACCTCTAAATCATAATGGCTAATGGCCATTTAAAATTCTGCCTAAATTGGCACTTACAGGACTGCTGTATACCAGATTTCAAGGACAGCATAGTAGAGATTGCCTGAAGATTAGAATTAAAAGATTTGTGTCTTTACTTCTAAACTGTGCTTGGAACTCCCTGGCTTAACTTTTTTCAATCAAATTACCTTGAAAAATAATCTAGCAATTTTAGAAAACAATGGTTCAGATACTGAAGATGCTCAGAATCTCCAATATCCAATCTGCAATAGTCTTAACTCTTATCCCAAGTATTTTGCTAGAAACATTGAAGGCAACAGAATCCAGCCTTTTCTTGGGATAAATGCTGCATCGACCATACAGTAAAAGGGAACTCAACCAATAAATCTTTTCAGAAGCAAAAGAACACATCTTGATTTGCTACTATTCCCAGGTCAGTATTATTTGTCTCTCATATCTCATACTTTATACAAGTATTTACTAAGGCTGGAAGTGTCACCAATTTTATCACAGATACTCATTTATCTGAAAATATACACAGTGTCATTTACTGTTTCATGGAATCATAGAATGGTTTGAGTTGGAAGGGACCTTCAAGATCATCTAGTTGCAATCTCCCTGCCATGGACAGGGACACCTTCCACTAGAGCAGGTTGCTCAAAGCCCCATCCAACCTGGCCTTGAAAACTGCCAGGGATGGTGCATCCACAATTTCTCTACGCAACCTGTTCCAGTGCCGCACCACTCTCATAGCAAATAACGTCTTCCTTAGATCTGATCTAAATCTACCCTCTTTAGATTCAAGTGCTTTGATCATATAACCATAAATTGCAAGCGACTGAGCACTTTCTTCACTACAGAGAATCTGGGTGACTGGCACAGCGACTAAGGCTCGCTCTTTAGCTATTTGCACACAGTCACATCAGAGCCTTGGCCACAAAATCATGCTTTCGTTGCATACATTTGGTATGTGTAGCTCTAGCTGCATCTCCCGTAGTTCTCAGTACTGAAATTCCTTCTCAGTCAGGTATGCTAACTCAGGAAGTTGTCCAGCCTTCTGGGGAAAATTGATGGGAGAGCATTGAAGAACTAGAAGTACTTAAGTGATCTTTCCTAAACCCTCAAAGCAAAGCGGGAAGGTTCTAATCCAAACAAAAGCTCATTCTGTGCTTTAATGCAGATTGATACCTAAAGCTGGCTATTTCTATAACCTCGATGCAAGACTTTTCACAGTGAAGTACACACTACAATGTAGGGAGTGGTGAAAGATCAGGTGAGATGGTGTGAGGGACCACACTCCCCCTTGTCCCTTCCACGTCAGTCAGCTCACTTCTGTTCCTTGCAATATAAACAAGTGTGGATGGCTCCATGGAACAAAAAGGAATGGATCTGAAAGTTGTGTGTATGCTGCTTACCTTTGCCACATAGGGAAAAGGCAGCAGTTGCCATGACTATGTGGGAACAACACATCAAGCAGCAGCTTTACTTTTCACTTGCCCAGGTGTAGGAAGCCCTATGCCTCCATTCTTGAGACAGAAAGAATGAAAAGGGCTGGAAAGCACTACAGACTCTCTGCTCACTCCCACCAATTTCACTTTGTTTGAACTTAATTTCTGAGCTTTTATTTTCCAGCCCCATAGCCTGGACAGACCACAGACCAGCTTTTCATGCTCCAGCAGTCTTAAGATCCCTTAAGACATGGCTTAATCAAGATTACACAAAATAAACTGTCATCTGTGAAAGCCAAGTTTCTGGTCTCACACAGTTTTATGTGACTGAATCATGGTGTACTGTCTGGCTGCCACCTCCTGGTGTCAAGGATCATACACAAGTCCTCAACTCTTTCCATAGGGCCAGACACATAGAAAAAGTATTACAGAAAACATCTCAGTGACAGATGACACTAACAGGTTTCCATGCACCAAGTTACAAGGCTCCATTACGCTGCACAAAGAGTTTTATAACCGGGAGGAATGCGTGTGTTCGTGCTAGTTTGGGTCATTGGAGACCATGACAGCTTGCATGAGGCCCACCTCTCAGGGACGAGCTGCAGCAGTGTGGGACAGTGGTTGTGCAGTAAAACTGTCTCACTGCAGGTTGCTAAGTCACTATCTTAGGAAAACATGCTATTGCCTGCTATATGCTGAGCTGTTCTCCTTTGTGAACTTGCCAGCTGGCAAACAGCATTACTGGCACACAGATCCCCCTGAATTGAATCCAGAAAGGATACACAGATATTCACATACATATGTATATTGATAGCTGAGACTGCCTCAGCTTCTCTTCCGACTTCTAACCACACTGAACTGACAGGTCGCTACCACTCTAACCAAGATGCCTGCTTGACTAAGCAGTGCCATAATCAGGAACTCCCCAGGTGGTATTGGGGCTAAAACCATTTCTCAGAGCACCTCCCAAAAGCCTGTTGACTCTGCACTGCAAAAGAAGAGCCCCATCTCCCTAAACGTTCCCCCATGGCAGAGCAAAGGACGGCAACACCCGTGAAGCATCTGCTTGTGCATCCTCTTGGCCCTCCTTCCCGCCACCTCCCTGGCCATGGCCAGCACTTACTTGGCTCCGGCCAGTGACCGCTAGCTTGGCATGGCTGGAGAATGTGCTGCCGGCCGAACCCTGTCCCGGAGAGCCGGGCTCCCCGGCCAGGGGGCTCCCCGCCACCTCATCGGACCACTCCTGCGGCA